CTAAATATATGCTAGCCGATGTGCTAACTAAACGGATGGATGGATCTCAGATCAGGAAGTCGATGGATGGAGTTATCATGTATCACCTAGACACCCCGCCTAAGAGCGACCACGACTCGAATGCAATGCTGAGTGCGTGGACGACCGACTGGGAGTACATGGTTTGATGTATTCCTACAGTGGACAGATATTGATAACGTGAGCCTACTATGCATTTTCCATATTACGAAGCCTGTCGGCTGCCTGTGTATTTTTCCTTTGCAAGCTGTTTGCACTGCTGTCTGTTGCTTTTGAGGTGGCGGATTTTGACCGCTGCGGGACCCGGGAATTTTATTTTATAGCACGCTGCCGTGCCCTCCGTGTTTATGCTTCTTGATCAACAAGGGCAACAGAATTTTAGAACCAGTGTGAAAGCGAGAGTGCTGGATGGCCCGGGGCCCAGCGTTTGCCCCTCGTCTCACTTGATTCTTATCCGTAAACATTGCGGCTCCCAGGGCCCTTGAGTTTCTTCGACATACGGAAAACATCAGCGCCTATCTCAGAAGTTGCATCTTCACAGGGGCAGGGCTCGCAATTGGGGCGTCCGTAGACGTTGGTGCAGGGGTTGGAGGTGGAGTCGGGGATGGAGCAGGCGTCGGATGTTGAGTCGGGAATTGGCGGTGGCGCCGCGTGCCGGAGTCAGCGTCGGTCTCGAGCTGGGAGCCGGCGTCGAACCCGTGACTGCGGCATGCCAGCACATCCTCGTGTACATCCTCCGTGCTGTCTTCCATGACGGAATCGAGCAACTCCAATTTCGACCCTGACTCCGACTACTAAGCAAGCATGGATCAATTTCTAAGGACCTCAATTGGGCGATGGGCAATGGCAATACTGAAGACATCAATTGTGATGATATTGTGGATATTGTGCCAGGGGCTGTGTTGTGCTCCGCTGCGCTGTGCCGTGCCGCACAGTGACGTGCCAGTGGACGCGCCAAGGAACGTGCCACGGGACGCGCTGCGGTACATGCCAGGGGGACGCGCCGCGGAACGTCCCAAGGGACGCGCCTGGGGACATGCTAAGGGACGTGCTATCATGAGGACGCATCGCGGGACGTGCCAGGGGACGCGCTACGGAACGTGCCAGTGGACGTGCCACGGGACGAGCCAGGGGACGCGCCGCGCGACATGCCAGGGGGACGCGCCACGGAACGTGCCAGGGAACGTGCCAGGCGACGCGCCAAGGGACGTGCCGGGGGACGCGTTTGGGAACGTGCCACGGCAAGGGGCGGGCCAGAAACGCGCCAAGGGACGCGCCGCGGATCACCTGGAGCCTTCCAGGATTTCCGCGCACCGTTATTAGTCGAAATGTTACGGGCCGCACGGTCCCTCGTAAATTACGCCGCGTGCGCGCCCCATGGGCTACGATCCGTAGTGAATTCCCCTGGGCCCCCACTCCCAGCGCCACTATCACTAGTAAATGATGCTGCGATGCTGCGTCCGCTCCCCGAAGGCCACGATCCCTCGTGAACTACGCTGCGTCCGAGCTCCCAGTGCCACAAGCCCTCGTCAGTTACGCTGGATTCGCACTCCCAGTGCCAAGATGCTTCGGAAAATACGCTCGATCCCTGGTAAGCATGCCGAAGGTATGCCGAAAATACTCTCTGAAGGTTCGTCGGACACACTCGCTGAAGATACGCCGAAACTACGCTGAAGGTAAACGGTTTCTGCACTGTTCTTGAATTGGAAACATCATTGAAGCTGCACCGAAGGTACGATGAAGGTACGCGTGTCCAGGTACCCTGAAGGTACGCCGAAGGTAGACAGGACGGGGGGGGCAGAGGGCAGACCCCCCACTCCCCCCGCTCCACCAGACCCCGTGGACCCAGACAAGGGCCACACGCGACGGACCCAGAAACGAACGCGGTACGACGGGGCCGCGCTCCCTGGGTCACGATCCTTTGTAAATTACACTGCCTGGGCCGCGCGATCTCTCGTAAATGCACTGGGTTCGCGCTTCCAAGGCCACGATCCTTCATAAATTAAGCGGGAGTCACGCTCACAGGGCGACGATCCCTCGTCAATTGCACTGGGTGCGCGCTCTCAATTGCAAGGGATTCACGCTCCCAGGGCAACAATCCGAAGTAAATTACACTGTGTCCGCCCCCCCGAGGCCACGACCTCTTTTGTGAATTGGCCACGAACCCTCGTAAACTACGCTTCCTCCGCGCCCCCAGGGTCACTGCACCTGACACATTATTATGCCGCGCTCCCAAGGCCACGATCCATCGTAAATTACGCTTAGCCCGCGCTCGCAAGGCCGCGATCTCTCGCGAATCACCCTGCGTCCGCACTCCCAGGGCCACGACCCCTCGCAATTTACACTGCGTCCGCGCTCCCAGGGTCATGAAGCACCTCGTGAAATTGCCCAATCCCTCCTCTCCAGAACACAAAGATTTTCTGTATTCGGATACGCGTTCGGGGCGCGCTCCTGAAACTTCGGCGCTGTACCAGAAGCCGCGAATCCTCCTAAATTATGCTGCGTCCGCGCTCCCAAGGCCGCGAACCCTCGCAAATTACTTCGGATTCACGCTCCCAGGGCCAAGATCCTGCATGAACTGCCGAGATTCACGCTCCCAGGGCCGCGAACCCTCGTCAATTACGGTGGGATCCCTCGTACACTGCGCTGTGTCCGCCCCCCCACGGCCAAGATCCATTGTAAATTACGCGACGTCCACGCTCCCCGGGCCACGATCCATCGTCAATTACGCTGTCCGCGGGCTCATGACCACGATTCCTTAATGACGCTGCGTCTGCGCTCCCAAGGCAACAATCCCTCGAAAATTACGCTGCGCCCGCGCTCCCTGGGCCACGATCCCTTGTAAACGCTGCGTCCGCTGGATTACGCTGTGTCCGCGCTCCCAGAAACACCTGGGCATCCTGGGCGCCCAGGCCCCTAACGTGCTGCAGAACAAGCGTTTCGCTCGAGACATCATCGAGCGGGCACGCACGAACTCTACTTGTTCCAATTCTGCGCAAATCACTCACCACTTTTTTACGATGGAAAACGGTGGTCTGCGGTCCCCGATATTTATCGAGGACCCGAAATGGGGGGCGCACTTTCCTCGAGCGGGCAGCCGCGCGAAGCGCACTGTGCAACCTGAAAATTGCACTTTACCTCGTTTGTGTTTCTAGCGGAATGTCGCCTGCCATGCGCAAGTAAAACCGGGGATAACGAAAACCCCGGGCTCAGGCCCTTTCTGGGACAACATGCAACAATTTCACGGGTGGAGGGCGGTCCGCTTACAAAAATGCGGCTCTCGCCTTAGCGCCGCGCTCATTCCTCATTAAGTTTGCAAGGACCTCACGGATGGAGGGCGGTTACTTTTCCAAAAGGTTGCTCTCACCTGAGCGCCGCGCGCATTCGTCTGCAAATTTGCAAGAGCTTCACCGATGGAGGGCTAATCCTTTTCAAAATGTGGCTCTCGCCTTAGCGCCGCACACATTCGTCTTAAGAGTTTGCAGACGTTTCAAGGATTCTCATGGTTAGCGTCCCAGGGATGGTGATTTGGAACGATGTTGGGATGTCAGGGCGCAGGCAGTCACGCTGATTCGTGCTGTTGACGTCTCCGGAATTGTGTTCTGGCACGATTCAGAATCCGCCGACCCTGTCGGCGTGTGTGAGGGGCTTTTCCGTTCGAGCCGTCATCTCCGTCATTCTTTGTACTCGTCGTCTCTGTCCTTCCCTTTCCCTGGGAGACCTCTTCCCCTGGGCTCCAGCCAAGCCGACCTTGAGCAACCTCGTAATTGAGTCGAAGGGAAGCCCCTTCCCTTTGATCCCTCCCCCGCCGGGAGGGGGGGGGGGGTAGCGACCCCCCCCCCGGGTCAGATACGACGCCCCCCCCTGGGACTCCTCTTCCCCTGGGCTCCAGCCAAGCCGACCTTGAGCAACCTCGTAATTGAGTCGAAGGGAAGCCCCTTCCCTTTGATCCCTCCCCCGCCGGGAGGGGGGGGGGGGTGTCGACCCCCCCCGGGTCAGATACGACGCCCCCCCCTGGGACTCCTCTTCCCCTGGGCTCCAGCCAAGCCGACCTTGAGCAACCTCGTATTGAGTCGAAGGGAAGCCCCTTCCCTTTGATCCCTCCCCCGCCGGGAGGGGGGGGGGGGTGTCGACCCCCCCCCCGGGTCAGATACGACGCCCCCCCCTGGGACTCCTCTTCCCCTGGGCTCCAGCCAAGCCGACCTTGAGCAACCTCGTAATTGAGTCGAAGGGAAGCCCCTTCCCTTTGATCCCTCCCCCGCCGGGAGGGGGGGGGGGGTAGCGACCCCCCCCCCGGGTCAGATACGACGCCCCCCCCTGGGACTCCTCTTCCCCTGGGCTCCAGCCAAGCCGACCTTGAGCAACCTCGTAATTGAGTCGAAGGGAAGCCCCTTCCCTTTGATCCCTCCCCCGCCGGGAGGGGGGGGGGGGTGTCGACCCCCCCCCCGGGTCAGATACGACGCCCCCCCCTGGGACTCCTCTTCCCCTGGGCTCCAGCCAAGCCGACCTTGAGCAACCTCGTAATTGAGTCGAAGGGAAGCCCCTTCCCTTTGATCCCTCCCCCGCCGGGAGGGGGGGGGGGGGTAGCGACCCCCCCCCCGGGTCAGATACGACGCCCCCCCCTGGGACTCCTCTTCCCCTGGGCTCCAGCCAAGCCGACCTTGAGCAACCTCGTAATCTCTTCCTGCGCATTGCGAACAGGGTCGGCGGCACCGGCCGTCAGGCCTTCGCAATCTTCAAGACGCAACAGGAACGGTGATTCGCGGCGTTGAAGTGCAAGAACGGTGTTCTGGCACAGTTCGGGATTTTCAAACCGTTGTCTTCCAACGGGGCACTTCCCTTAGTGAAAGCGTGAAAGCAAGCCCTTGTAGAGGCATATGAAGAGAGAACTTGGAGGGAGGTGTTCTTACTACATCTTTGATGAGTCTTGGGTTTACACTTGTCCCCTTCTTCTCCTTCCACACGCACGCGCCCCCGACCACCCCATGGCTCCGCAGCCCACGACGCCGCGGGGCTCCAGCCCCAGCCGCCGCCGCCAGGGATCCACTGCGCCCCGCCGATGTCTTTCTTCCCGGCCTCGGGGCGAAAGCGGAAAGGGGAATGGGAGATAGGATGCAAAACAAATCGTGTACGCACCCCTGTGCGCAACGTGCAACGACGTTTCGAAATTGCACGAAGATGTTCGACCAGTTTGGAAACTGTGATCCGCCACCGTGCCTGCACAACGTGGGCGTGTTCGAATGCCAGGCGCTGTGCTGTAGGGCTCAGGTGTTCTAATTAAGAACCCCCTCTCGCGCCAGAGAGTCGCGTGCACCCCCCCTCTCCCGAGGTCACGACCCCTCGTGCAAAGCCATAGACCCGTGTTCCCGATGTCACGACCCCTCGTGAAAAACTGTGTGTCCACGTCCCGAGCTTCCAAGACGGCCCAATCAGGCAGCATTGAAAACGGGCCAATACGGCCCCAAGGCGGCCCAATACGGCCTCCAGACAGCACAAGATGCCTCCAAAGAATCCAAAAGGACCATGAGAGGACCCACAGCAGGGTGCGAAGAAACCAAAACCTGTGATTTACCGATGGCCGTTGAAAGATGTTCGAATGTTCATCTTTTCGGGCTTGTGTCAGCTGAAGACGGCCCAAGAAACCTCCAAGATGGCCACTAGGCGGCCCCAAGAGGCCACCACGAGGGTCCACAGATGACCCAAGAGCATCCCACGCGGACCCAAGAAGCATACAAGACGGCCCCATGACGGCCCAAGAGGGCCTCTCTTGGTACCCAAGACGGCCTCCGAAGGCCCTTCGACTGCCCAAGACCTCGCCAAGACGGCCCAACGATGGCCCCCAGACACCCACCATGCGGCCAAGAGGGCCCCCAGACGGCCAAAGAGGGCCCCAAGACTGCCGAAGAGTGCTCCAAGGGATCCCCAAGACCACGCTCCTCAAACAGGGAAGACAAAAAGTGTCACATGCGTGACGGACTGCCTCGTCTGCCTCCTCCTCCTCCTCCTCCTCCTCCTCCTCCTCGTGCTCCTCCTCCTCCTTGTCCTCCTCCTTGTCCTCCTCCTCCTTTTCCTACTCATCATCATCATCAGCAGCAGCAGCAGCAATATCCTCCTCCCCCTCATCATCATCAGCAGTGGCGTCGTCATCGTCATCGTCATCGTCGTCGTCGTCAGCAGCATCGTCATCACAATCATCATCAACAATAGCATCAACAACATCGCCACCACAACCACCACCGCCACCATCATCATCATCAGCAGCATCATCATCATTACCAGCAGCATCATCAGCATCAACACCACCACCACGACCCACACCACCAACACCACCACCACCACCATCATCATCATCATCATCATCATCATCATCATCATCATCACCATCATCACCATCATCATCTGCATCAGCATCAACATCAGCATCAGCATCACCATCACGATCACCATCACCATCACCATCAGCATCATCATCACCATGATGATGATGATGATCATCATCATCATCATCATCATCATCATCATCATCATCTTCGTCAGTATCGTAATCGTCATCGTCATCGTCAGCATAATCATCATCATCATCATCATCATCATCATCATCATCACCATCACGACCATCATCATCATGAGCATCATCATCTGAATCATCAGAACCACCAACATCATCAACATCACCAACACAATCGTCATCATCATTGTCATCATCCTCCTCATCATCGTCATCGTCGTGGTCATCATCGCAATCACCATTACAATCACCATCATCATCATGATCGTCGTCGTCGTCGCCACCGCCGCCGTCGTCATCATCATCACCACCAACACCACCATCACCACCATCACCATCACCATCATCAGTATCCTCCTCCTCCTCCTCGTCGTCGTCATCGTCCTCGTCCTCGTTCTCGTCATCATCATCATCATCATCATCATCATCATCATCATCATCATCATCATCATCATCATCATCATCATCATCATCATCATCATCCCCAACATCATCATAATGACCATGATCCTCATTACGGCTCCCCCAAGCCTGGAGACACGAGGTGTCACACGTGACGGCCTTCCGTACCCCATCGAAAAGTCGCCACACAATATGCTGCGCTAGCACGGTGGCGGGACTTGCCGCAGGTAACTCGATAATCCATAGTCTGGACCGGGTCGTGACACTGCCGTCTGAAGACTTGAATATTGAACCATTGCTTACGAAAGGATTACAGAGAGAGAGAGAGAGAGAAATGTAGATATGTAATTAGGGATGCAGAGAGATGGCGGCTGGGGATGGAATTTAGAGGAGAGAGAGAGAAAGGAGAGGGGCGAGAGAAGTGAAAGGGGAGAGAGAAAGAGAGCGAGTGTGACAACCAGCAGTGGGAATCAAGATATAGGGCGGGGACCCCCTTGCTGTTCTCCACGATGGCGGCATCGCTGCCCTTGCCTTTATCCTTGTACCCCATGTCCTTTCCACCGTTGGCCTTTCCGTCAGCGAGGCCTGCGCGTGAGAACAACGGTGGACACGACAGAGAAGTAGGAAGAGGGAGCCAATTTGGAGGGAGCAGGTGGCAGACAGGTGAGCCATCTGACTCTGTGAGAAGGGTGCCCAAGACACGCACATCCCACCGCCCTCCCCTCCAGCGCGTTCCTCATAGCAGAGGCAACTACGGGGCATAATACTGCCCAATACGAATGCATAACTTCATGAATTGCGTCGCAATCTTCTTTGCTTCGTCGTGAAAGCATGATCGACCTGCGAACCCGGAAAGGAATTCAGAAACGCAAACCATGGCTGCTACGTCCTTAAACCACCTGACTGGGCGACAAGCACTTGCAATGCTGAAGGTATCGGTCATGATGCACTATGTACCGTGCCAAGGATTGTGCTGTGCTGTGATGTGCCGTGCTGAATATATGGTGCTGTGGATCAAGTCGGCCTTGACATCCGAATCCTCACCCAACTGATCGCTCGAGCTGCCTGAATGCATAGCTGGCCCAGAACTGGTTGCAGTCGAGACGCGTGTGACGCTCAATCAGCTCGAGCTCAAGATCCGACTCAACTCCGAAGCAGGACGAGACGACAAGGGGCGCAGGGCGCATGGACGGGCCACGGAATGTGCCAAGGGTGCACTAGGGGATGCGCCAAGGGGCGCTCCAAGTCGCCGAAAGATCGTTCTAAGAACCCCAGAATGGCCTCCAAACGGAACAATATGCCCCCGAGACGCCGCAAGACGGCTTCAAGAGGGCCCCCTGGAGGGCCATATCGGCAACATGTATTAATTGCCCCCGTGCTTTTGAAAGATTTGGGCGTTCTCGCCTTCTTCCGTTTCCCGACGCTCCACGATGGCCCAAGAGGCCTCCAAGATCGCCCCAAGACGGCCCAAGAGGTTTCCAAGAGGCCCCCCAAACGGCCCTAGAGGGCCCAGAGATGGTCCAAGAGGCCTCCAAGACGGCCCAAGACGCTCCTAAGACTGCTCCAAGAGGGGGCCCAGACGGGGGACCCGAAAGACATTTCGAACCTCCGGCTTCGAGACGCCTCCAGGAAGCGCCCAGAGGCCGCCAAGAGGCCCCCCAGAGGCCCCACGAGCCCTCAAGAGGCTCCAAAGAGGCTCCTAAGAAACTCCCCAAGGGCCCAAAACTGCCTCCCCGTGGCACGGGCCCCCGAGCGCGCTCCGAACACCAAGAAGCACCCCGGAGGACTCTGACCCAAAGCCCACGCACGGTGGCGGGACGGGCCGAGGGTCTTTCGATATCCGCCGCCCCATTGTTGGCTTGCCACAGAGGGGCCCGGTGTGCCAGATTTCAGGAGTTGCTTGGTTCTTTTAGACCTCCCCCTGGGGCTTCGGCCCAGCGCGCCGGCCACCCAAAACATCTATCATAAGTCAGTGCCTTTCTCGCCCAAGATGGACAAACATGGATTCCAAAATGCCTCCCCGACGGCCAAGACCGCCCAGGATGGCCTCCAAGATGCCTCCAGGACGGCCAAGATGGCCCCAAGAGATCCCAACATGGCCCCAAGATGCACCCAGGACGGCCCAAAATGCACCCAAGATGGCCTACGACGACCCGAAAGGTCCGCAAGAGGCCCCGGCCTTCAAGACGGCCCCAGAGGCTCCCAAGAGGGCCTCCAGGAAGGCCCGAAGAGGCCAAAATCATTGATTTTCCTGAGGTGTTTAAATGATTCTAGCATTTGTTTCTTTTCGGTCTTCCGAAAAACTTTGTGGGGATTCTTGGGCACCTCTTGGGGGCCTCTCGTAGCCTCTTGGGCACTCTTGGGGGCGTCTGCTCCCGACCTTCCCGAATGCCTCCTCCATCGTGGGGGTCGTCGTCCAGGGTCGGCGGCACCAGCCGTAAGTCCTTGGCATCACCAGCCGAAGAAACTGCAACAAGTTCGTACGCATCTGGTGTTTCTCTTTTGATTTGTCTGGCCCTTGTGGGCCCCCACGCTGGGGGGGTCCCAGACGCACACGTGTGAGATATCCCCCCTGTGGGTGGTCCGCACATGTAAAAACACGTGGTTCCAGCTCGCGGCAACCATTTTAGATATCCCTCTGGGTGGCATGGATAACTAACATGATCGACCCACGAATCCCGAAAGGAATACAGAAATGTAAGGCATGGCAACGTTTCAAAGAACTGATTGGGCGACGCGCAAATTCAATGCTGAATGTATCGATCTTGATGTACCGTGCCGAAGGCTGTGCTGTGCTGCGCCGCGCTGAATTGCGATGTGCCATACCGCGATTGCGCTCTATAGCGTTGTGGATCGAGTCCTCCTGTGCATCCGAGTCCTGACCGAACTGATATGGATCTTAAGCTCGAGCTGCCTGAGCACATAGTAGCTGCCCCACAGCGAATTGGGAACATGCTAGGAGGACGCGCAGCGGAACGTTCCAAGGGACGCGCCAGGCGACGTGCCAGGGGTCGTGCCATGGGGACGCACCGCGAGACGTGCCAGAGGGACTCGCCACGGGACGCGCCACGGAACGTGCCAGAGAACGTGCCAGGTTGCAATGCTGAATTTATCGATCTTGATGTATCGTGCCGAAGACTGTGCTGTGCTGCGCCGTGCTGAATTGCGATGTGCCATACCGCGATTGCGCTCTATAACGTTGTGGATCGAGTCTTCCTTTGCATCCGAGTCCTGACCGAACTGATATGGATCTTAAGCTCGAGCTGCCTGAGCGCATAGTAGCTGCCCCACAGCGAATTGACAGGGGGACATGCTAGGAAGACGCGCCGCGGAACGTTCCAAGGGACGCGCCAGGCGACGTGCAAGCGGACGTGCCATGGGGACGCACCGCGGGACGTGCCAAAGGGACGCGTTATGGAACGTGCCAGTGGACGTGCCACCGGACGTGCCAGGGGACGCGCCACGCGACGTGCCAAAAGGACTCGCCACGGGACGCGCCACGGAACGTGCCAAGTTGCAATGCTGAATGTGTCGATCTTGATGTACCGTGCCGAAAGCTGTGCCATGCTGCGCCGTGCTGAATTGCGATGTGCCATACCGCGAGTGTACTCTATAAAGTTGTGGATCGAGTCCTCCCTTGAATCCGAGTCCTGACCTTAAGCTCGAGCTGCCTGAGCACATAGTAGCTGCACCACAGCTAGCTGCCTGAGACGTCCGTTCCAGGCGCCCAGGAAGGCCCCAAGAGGCCCATGTTAGATGCCCCCTAGGTGGCCTGGACACGTGAAAACACCTGGTTCCGCCATGTTAAGTACCCCATGGGCGGCCTGGACACGTAAAACCACGCGGTTCCAAATTCGGGACAATCATGTTAGATACCCCCTGGGTGACCTGGACACGTAAACACACGTGGGACCAGCTCTGGGCAACCATGTTCGATACACCCCTGGGTGGCCTGGACACGCTAAAACACGTGGTCCTTGCTCGGGGCAACTATGTTAGATATCCCTCTGGGTGGCCCGCACGCGTAAAAACACGTGGTGCCAGCTCGGGGCAATCATGTTAGATGCCACCCTGGGCGGCCTGGACACGTAAAAACACATGGTTCATCCTTCTCCCCCCCTCCTCCTCCTCCTCCTCCCTCCCCCCTCGATCCTCCCTCCTCCCTCTCCCTTCCTCCCTCCTCCCTCTCCCTTCCTCCCTCCTCCCCCTCCCCTCCTCCCCTCCTCCCCTGTCCTCCCCCTCACTGTAATGCAATGTACTACTCCTCCCTCCTCCCCCTCCCCTCCTCCTCATACTACTCCTCCCTCCTCACCCCTCTCCACCACCTCTGGCGCGGCATCTCGGAATCCAGAGTTGCGAGGATGCCTCAAGAAAGACGCGCTCGACCACCTCGCGCACATGTTCTGGGAGCCTGATAGTTGCGAGGATGTTTCAGGCGAAACGAGCTGGACCACCTCGGGCACATCTTCAAGGAGCCAGGACTTGCAAGGATATCTCAGTCGAAACTGTGGAAGATGTCGCAGGCCAGGCCGGTGGGGACACCGCAGTTGTCCTCTTAGTTGTCCTCTTCTCTCACCTCTCCGTGCGTGGCCCTCAAGGCGCACGCGTCTCCGTGGAGTGTCCTGCGGCCAAGTGCCCTGTGCAGGCGCCATTCCACAGGGGGTGGGTATATGCTGACTGGCTGTCTTGCTCGCGCATCCCTCTCACAAGTTATCAACCGCTCTTGCTTTGCCCTCTGGGCCATGTGACCATCGTTATGCAACGCCAATCGAAGGACGGCGCAATAGCTTCAGATGATGGGACGGTCCGTTATCAGTATACTGTCTCCCATCAATGTTATCGAACTTGATACCAGCTATTTTACTTTCATGGGAAGGCGTGAGAGCACGACCTATGCAAAGCATCATCTCCATGACTCCTATTTTGATGACGGCATCACATATTTGACACATAGTTGATGATCATCGTACATTTTTGAGGCCTGGAGTGGCTCACGTGATACGTTTTACGCTGTCTAGCTGATCAGTTGTTATCACAACTTCGACATTGATATATCTTGAATTCGAGCCTGGACTGTCTCTCGATATGCCCCTCATTCTCACGGTTCTTTCTCTAATTCTCTCACATCGTCCTTCGTCGGGGGGGGGTTCGCTTTCGGCCTCCCCGCAGGCGCACGTCGATGCCCTCCTCTTCTCGCTCTCTTGTCCTTTGCTATCTCCATCCATCCATTGCTTCTCTCCCACCATCCACGTGTCCTGTCGTCGTTATCCTCGCTCTTCTGCTTGTGTATGTTGTCACCATACACGCATTGATTTTGGAGCGATTGCTGGAAGCTGTGTCATACCAAGCGGTCTTCGCTTTACGCTTTGATGCATCTGAGCGTGTGTGTATTGCTTGCGGGAAGAATTCCTGTGATCGTGTTGAGGAGCTCCAACGCCCTGGCAGAGTTGCATGATATACGGACCAAGACTGGCCAGCTGGCTACCCGACTTCGGTCTACGATTTCGCCCTCGCAGGCGGCGGACCTCATGCAGGACGCATGTGTCACATCTCCCAGGCTCGAAAAGAGACTCGAGAATCAGAGATGCTGAAAAGGCACGGGTTGAGGAAGTCCTTGCCCGTTTGGACCGCACGCAAGTCGCACGGTGCACATCGCACCAGGCAAGCAGGAGCCAAGTCTATCATGTACGCGCTGACAATTCCGAGACGTCGATGGCGGGGGCCCATAGGTACCCGCAGCTGACCAATGACCTTCTGATGTGTTTTGCGGTTGATGGTTGTCACGGTCACATTCAGGTTACTCTTCCTCACAGAGCTCGCAGCATCCACAACTGATTACAGGTTGAGTCCTCGCGGCGGACCCCGCTGCAGCCCCGTGCAGATCTCAATTCTTCTTCTCTTGCATCGTATATGCACGGATGTTCCTCTTCGGGGTGGTCTTTTCCCCTTTCTCCCTTCCCCCTGCTCTCTTCCGGTCCCGCTGCCTCTGGGTGTCGTGGGAATTCACCTCCCCGCGTGTCTCTGGAGTCGGGTCCGTTCCCTTCCTCTCTTGCCGCTTGTTCTTGTCGCAAATAAGGAGCCTCTGCGGGGCGGTCACGGCCCCGCAAACTGGCACCTCTCACCACGGAGCATTAAAAAACATGCTCGAGGTGGCCAGAGTCCGGCCCTTGTGGATAACAGCAGCCCATTTGGGCGGGGCCGGCACGCCCCTAATCGTTAAGAGCAGCCCATTTTGGGCGGAGCGATATTTCCTCTATCTCCTTTCTTCCTCTTCTTTCCCTCTCTCGTGTGGTCTCGCGTCGGGCGGGGGCCGGCGGCGTGGTCGGTGCCCCCGCTCCTCAGGGCAGTTGAGCCTCGAGGAACCCAGTGGTTGAGCTCACATCGTTTCACGTTGTTTCGCTCATCGGCCCGAGCTCGTGCCCCTCGGGTCGAATGGGCAGCGCTCCGCCTCCCCGCAGGTACACATCGACATGTTCTTCCTCGTTCTCCTCCTCCTCCTCCTCTCCTCCGTTCTCTTCCTCTGTCCTGCCCCCCCACAGGTGTGCGTCGAGAAGCGCGCGTCGACGTGCTCAAGCTCGCGCGCGCTCTCACAATCCTGCTTTCCTTCTCGGTCGCTCCCGTCAGGTTCGCATCTTGAGCTACAACACACTGCGCAGTGGGCAATCCAGCTTATATCCATGCTATTACACATGTCAGAATTTCCATATTCTTCCCCACAGGTTCACATCTTGACGCCTGTCTGAAACCGCCTCTCTTGGAATGCTGTCGCTGCGAGGTCTGCCTGGCCAGGTCTTTTTCATCTTCTGTTTGCTTCCACCACCCGTGTGTCGTAAGGGGGACGAAATGTCTCAGGCCAGGCCGGTGTGGACACCCGCAGTTGTCCTCTTAGTTGTCCTCTTCTCTCACCTCTCCGTGCGTGGCCCTCAACGCGCACGCGTCTCCGTGGAGTGTCCTGCGGCCAAGTGCCCTGAGCAGGCGCCATTCCACAGGGGGTGGGTATATGCTGACTGGCTGTCTTGCTGAGTTTCCCTCTCACAGAGACGGACTGGACCCCCTCGCGCGCAACATCTCGGAGACCCGAATTGCGAGGATGTCTCGAATGAACCTCCTCGCCTTCTCCTTCTACGCCTCGCGCCATATCTATATTACCCCGGTTTGGCGCGTCCCGAGGTTCCCGGGTTCGTGGTTCGGTTACCGTGGGTCGCGCTTTTTGCGTTCTGGGGTTCGCGCTCCCGTTTCCCGGGTTGAGCTCGTTTCCCCAGGTCGAGGTTTTTCCTTTCCAAAAGAGAGGGGGGATACCTTCAAGCTGGGCCCCCTCTTTTAGTGAGCAATGTGCCACAAGCGCGCTCGTTCGTAGCTGACCCAGAACTGGTTGCAATCGAAACGTGTGGGATGCTGAATCAGATCGAGCTCAAGATCCGACTCTGTTCCGCAGCGGGACGAGTCGTCACGGGGCGCAAGGCGCATGGACGAGCCTCGGAATGTGCCACGGGACGCGTCAGGGGACGTGGCTTGGGACGCGCCACGGAAGAGGCAGGGAAAGCGCCAGGGGACAAACCAGGGCACGCGACAAAGGACGAGCCAGGGGACGCGCCGAGGGGGAAGGGGCATCCGCCGTCCAGCTCTGGGGCGTTAGGAACCATGTGGTGTCACTCTTGTCCCGCTCTGGGAGCGTTCGGAACCCACGTTTTTTCACCTGTCCAGGCCACCCAGGGACGGATGTCTAACATGTGGTCGAGAAAACACATGGTTCCAGCTCGGGGCAGCCATCTTAGATGCTGCCCTGGGTGTCCTGGAGACGTAAGAAACATGACTCCAGCGGGGGACCACCATGCCAAACCCGCCTGGGTGGCCAGGACATGTGAAAACACTTGGTTCCAGCTCGCGGCAACCAAGCAAATATTCCCTTGGGTGGCCTGGAAAGGCAAACACGCGTGGTTCCAGCTCGAGTCCACCATGTTAGATATCCACCTGGGTGGCCTCGACATGCGAAAACGCGTGGCTCCAGCCCAGGACCACCATGTGAGATACCCCAATGGAAAATCTGGAAAATCACACGCCGAAGAGACTGTCCCAGATTATTATACATGTGGTGCCGATGTATTGAAATTGTCTGGCTCTTGTGCACACCTACGCTGGGGGCGCCCAGACGACCACATGTTAGATACCCCCCGTTGGTGGCCCGCACGCGCAAAATCACGTGGTTCCAGCTCTGGGCCACCATGTTCGATACCCCTTTGGGTGGCCTGCACACGTGGAAACAGATGGTTCCAGCGCGGGGCCACCATGTTCGATACCCCTTTTCTGGGTGGCCTGGATACGTGGAAACACGTAGCTCACATGAAAACACGTGGTTCCAGCCAGGGACAAGAAGCAACCATCTTCGACACCCCCCTCTTGGCGGCCTGGATACGTAAAAACACGCGGCTTCAGCTCGGGGCCATCATGTTAGGCACCCCCCTGGGTGACCTGCAAACATAAAAACACATGGTTCCAACTCGAGGCCACCATGTTCGATATCTCCCGTGTGGCCCAGACACATGAAAACATGCGGTTCCCGTTCAGGACAACTATGTTAGATGGTGGACGTGAAAACACGTGGTTCCAGCTGGGGACCACCACGTTAGATACCCCAGGGGAAATTTGGAAAATCACCCGCTGAAGAGACTATGTCAAGTCCTTACACATATGGTGTCGCATTATTGACTTTGCCTGGCCCTCGTGGGCGCCCAGCCCAGGGGGGCCCCAAACGACAACATGTTAATTATCCCCCTTTGGGTGACCCGCACATGTAAAAACACTTGGTTCCAGCTCGGGGCAATCATGTTAGATATCCTTTTTCTGAGTGGCCTGGAAACGTTAAAACACGCGGTTCCAGACAACCGTGTTGCATGCTCATTTTTGGGTGGCCTGGACAAATCAAAACATGTGGTTTCAGCTCCACATCGCCATGTTCGACGCCCCTCTGGCCGACCTGGACACGTGAAAACGCGTGATTCCATCTAGGCACAACCCCTTTAGATACCCCCTCTGGGCGACATGTGCACGTGAAAACCAACATTTCCCCACCCTTGCCCGCCGCTGCGGCAGCGCGGCGCGGCGCGGCGCGGCGCGGCGCCCCCCCCCTCTCCCGCACGCGCGCCTGCATTCGGCGGCGCGGGTTCGCCGGGCCGCGCTGCGCCGCTCCAGGGTGTGGGCCCCTCGCCCGGCGGTGGCGCCAGGTGCTCCTCGGCCGCAGCCGCGCTCCGCCCGCCGCCGAACGCGCGGGCGCAACCATGTCTGTTTTTTCTTGTGTTATCCCTGTCTCGCTCTCTCTCCCTGTCTCTCCTTCTCTCTCTCTCTCTGTCTCTGTCTCTCTCTTTCTCTCTCTGTGCAAGGGAACGCCCAAAAGTCTCAAAGAGGAAGAATGAGGAGGTAGAAGGAAGGTTGAAGTCGGAAGGCGGGAGGAGAGGGGAGGGAGATTTTGTTGGACATCCACGCCCTCTGACCCCCTCTAACAGGGGGTTGCTTCCCCTCTGTCTGACAGTTGGGACGGGCGCAGCGGCAAAGAGGTCGGGCGCGCCGTGAGACGGCGACGCCCCCCCCAAAAAAAGGACAACGGGAGATGGCAGGGAGAGCTCCCGAATGACCGCCGAAGGTGCTGGGCGGAGGGAAGTCCTTGTGAAGGGGGCGCCGCAGCAGAGACCCTCAGGAACACCAGATGACCAGCGGTCAGGAAGGACGGACTCACATCTCCGCGCCACTGAGGCGCAAAAACATGCAAGAGGCAGGCCTGCGGAGCAGCAGGCCGCAGGGGAAGAATTACCTTCAAACCCTGCGGCCGCGCAGCAGCAGGGAGAAAACCGATAGAGCACAGCAGTGAAAAGGGCGACCCAGCGAGCCCCAAATCTCGGCAAAACCCGAGACGCCAGGAGGCCGACCTACTGAGCAACTGTCACCGCAGGGGGAAAATACCTTCAGCACCATGTTTTTTTTTAGGTCCACGACGCCGCCCCCTGACCCTGACAGCACAGGGCAGCCAACCTGCAGCGGAGGGCGGCACAGGCTGCACCGAGTGGCTAAGCCAGACGGCCAGCACTGACTCTGCACGCTCCTGCTAGACATAGCCAACGGGACAGCACACAGAACACAGAGCCGCAAAAAAGGCGCAGTCTGTCGGAGTCACCCGACACCATGGCGCTGTCTCGAGCAGCGATGAGAGGAGCTTCGCCCTTCTCAGCCCGACGAGCCCCAGCAACCTGCCTCGGCGCAGACTCGGGCTGCGGCTGCACAGCGAACGGCATCGCAGCCGCAGGCGCAGGGCGAGCGAACCCCGCGCTGGGCGGCGTCGCAAAATGAGACGCCTGAGATCCAGCCGACGAGCTGCCGACAGAAGCAGACGTCGCGCGCCCGGGAAACGCCTGCGAGGTGCCTGGATCGTCGACGTCGCGAGCGAACAGAAGCCGAGCGGCTTCCTTGTCCGCGTCGAAGTCATGACCTTGCCCACCGCCACCGTCGCCCGACACCCCCCCCGACCAGAAAAAGAGGCAGGCAGCGCGGAGCGGGAGCCACAAGGCACAACGGGCGTTGAAGGTCCAACGGCCGTGGCCTGAGCAAGCGCGCCTCCTGCGCCAGGGGGGCCAGCTGCGGCCTGACTGTCGCCCTGGGCCCACGAATTGAAACGCTGGATCAAGCTTCGATGTCGACTCTGACTCCCGCCTTCCGCCGACGGCACCGCGGATGGGGGCCCTCGCGCCCGCAGTTGCAACCGCGCGTGCTCGCGCGCGGGGGAACGTTCAGACAGTTAACAGCTAGGCCAGTGATCAGGCCCCCACCGGCGCGACATTTACATTTGACGCATGTGGGCAGCATAGACCGATCCGAGCACGGGAACGGCGCGGTGATCGAGGGCGCCCTGCCTGGCCGCATGCGCATGCGAGGCGCGGGCCCAGGAACCTGGAGGTGGCTCGATAATCGACCGACAACCCTTCAAACAGTGAGCGCACCTCCAGATTCCACCCCAAGACTTCCGAACATGCCCAAGGGGGGGGGCGCTCCTCCACCAGATCTGGGGCCCGCTCTACCCCTGCCAGGTTCAGGCTGGGCCAGTGGCAGAACACGTTGGCGGCAACCTTCAAAATCGCCTTTGCCATTTTGACGACGTGATCGGCGGCCTGCATCTGGGCCTCGTCATGAGGATGGAGCGAAACGGCGCGCTTCGCACCAACATCAGCATGGTGGTTGCCTAGACGGCGCCCACGCTCCTCTGCGGTGATGCCAGGCGCATCAAGGTCGAGAGGAGCCGCCACCTTCGAACGCCCCGAGACGGCCGAGAGCTGTCCATGACACTCAAGAAAAGCCCCCGAATACATGCGCATCGGGAAAAATTAAAACAACTAACCCTGAACAGCACATTGAACAACATTAACACAATCGGAAAACGCGCAGCACTGGGAGGGATGGGCGGCGAGTACATTCGCCCGCGCGATCGCGCTGAACTCGGCGCTCTGGGGGGCTCGGGGGCAAGGTCCCCAGACAGGGCCCCGCAGCTCAGCCACCAGATCCCCTCGAGCATCAACCACGCACGCAGAGCTGCCCACCCGAGAGAGCTCGCGCACCGCACGTCGCGCGCACGACCCGCCCACAAACCAATCGCCCCAGACACGATGAGGAACGGTGCCTCCGTCGGGCCAAACGTCGGGATTCTCATGCCAAATCAGGAACGGACTATCATCATGCTCAGTGAGGGAGGGCCCTGGGAAAGGAGCCAGCGGGATGCCGCAAGGCTCCAGACATGAAGACGAAAGTGCCCACATCGTTCCACGACGCCTTAGCAGACAAAGCAGCATCGATGACATCCTGCTCCACTGCGCAGCTCCGATCTTCAACGACGGGCCCATGGGGGCACTCCCAGAGCCGGTGGAAAATGGTGTCGCGGGCTCCGCAGTGGACGCAATCAGGCTCGATGTGATGCCCCAGGGCCTCAACCCTGGCAGCAGCGAGGATGGCCTCCGCAGAAAACGCCATGATCCTGCCCTTTTCTGGAGGGCCGTAAACTTTTTAATCCTAAGAGAAACCGCAGCCTTGACAACATCATCACATGGGCGCGGACCCAGCCCCCTTCTCACTCGCGGCGCCTCGCTCGAGCATCACGAGGTAGCCCTCTCGGACCAAGGGCCCCGCCAGCGCGGGCGATGCAATTCCGAAGGGCATGGGCCGACGGAAATCGTCGAGCAGCGTCCAAAATCAACCATGCGCCACCCCAGTCGCACCAAAGACATCCTCATGCGGTCCTGCCACTCGCCCCCAGCTGCAACGCCCAGGGTTAAAGTTGGCGCGCCGCGCCTGTCTCAGAAGCAGCAGCGGGATTGACCGGCGGAAGACCGACGTCTGACTGATCCATACTTATTCAGTCCATCTTGGAAACGGAACCGCGGCCGTCCGCTGGGTCGGGTCGCCGTAAAAGATAGCGTAGACAGTGAGGGGCCTCAGCTTGGCTACGAGGCAAAACGACAATTACCCTGTGACGTACCCAACCCATTTGCATCAATGGAAACGAGGAGTTGGCCGAAACTTGTATGGACAATCAACTTGATGAGTAAGCTACTTGGGAGGCGTCACTGTGCTGGGCCCCGCTAGCAGGCCTCGAAAGTGGCGACCGCTTCACAGATCGCAGCCCCCTAGGCCCGGGGCGTGGACGATCGACGAGGTCCATCCGCGCCTCCAGGCTCGCCGGCGTGGCGTGCGGGAGGGGGGCTTGTCGGTTTACGGTGCGCCCTTGTTCCTCGCACCACTCCGCGAGCGCCGCGCAACCCGCGTCGTGGCGGCGGACCAGCCATCCGCCCACCTTGCAGCCGCGGGCGTGCCGCCCCTTGGGGTCCAAGTGGCGCGCCGCAGACTCGATCTGCCGTCGGGGTGCCGGGGCTGGCAGAGCTTCGGCGGCCGTGGCCCTGCTGCGCCTGCCGCGGGCGCGGGGGCCGTGCAGCCAGGCAGGTCGAGGTTGAGCCCGCACCGCAGCGCAATGTCCAACTGCGCGTTGGTCAGCTGGTGGCAGGGCCGCGTCGGCACCAGCAGGAGTGCGCTCGCTCCCGGGCCTCCCGCGGAGCGCAGGGCGGCCGCCGCTGACCTCCCTCCTCCCTCCTCCCTCCTCCCTCCTCCCTCCTCCCTCCGCCCTCCGCCCTCCTCCCTCCTCCCTCCTCCCTCCTCTCTCCTCCTCCTCCCTCCTCCCTCCTCCTCCTCCTCCTCCTCCCTCCTCCCTCCTCCCTCCGCCCTCCGCCCTCCATCCCTCCCTCCACCCTTTCCTCTCCTCCCTCCTCCCTCCCCTCTCCTCCCTCCTCCCTCCTCCCTCCTCCCTCCTCCTCCTCCCTCCCCCTCCTCCCTCCTCCCTCCTCCCTCCTCCCTCCGCCCCCCCGCCCTCCTCCCTCCGCCCCCCTCCTCCCCCCCTCCTCCTCCTCCTCCTCCTCCTCCTCCTCCCTCCTCCTCCTCCTCCACCCCCTACCCCTCCTCCGCCTCCTCCGCCTCCTCCGCCTCCTCCGCCTCCTCCTCCTCCTCCTCCTTCCCACGCCGAAGGTCGCTCCGCCGCTGCCCCCCCCCTCCCCCCGAGCGCCGAGGCCGCCCTCCTGCTCGGGCAGCGCGACGTGCACGGCCTGGCCGGGGAGTTTCGGATGCGTTTGGGAGGGCAGGCACGGGTCGGACGACAGAGGGGAACAACAAAGGGGGCTCAATTTCCCAGCGCCTCCCGGCGCCAGAGGCGCCAATGTATCGAGGCAAACGCCTAGTGGATGGAGCAGATTTCGTAACTCCCGTTCAGCCCGCCCCTGTCGGCCGACCTGACATACTGCACGGCGGGCTGGTGCAGGAGGACGATGGGGCAAATTCGCTGGCCCAACGGACCAAAGGGCTGGTAGACTCTCCGGTAAGACGTCCAGGTCTCTCTGGTGAGACGTCGCGTGGCGGCCCGCGGGGGGCCGAGAAAAAACTACTCTGGCAAGGCCCCAGGAAACCCTGGGAAAGTTCAAGGCAACCCGTGGCAAGGTCGGACCAGAGGTGGTTTGGAGTCTGGACGCTGTCTGAGGGCCATCCTGAGCGCCCTTGGAGCCCCCCAAGAGCGACCCAGGAGAGGGGATCAACGGGCGGCAAGCTTCAAGATGCTCTCAAGATAGCCCCAAGATAGCCCCGAGGCGACCCAAGATGATCGAAGATAGCCCCCGATAGGGCCCCGAGGGTCCAAACAGCAATTAAAAACTGGTGGTTGTTCAATGATT